GAGAGAGAGAGAGAGAGAGAGAGAATGGGGGGTGGGGGTTACAGCCAGGGATGGGTTGGAGGAGAGGACACCCTTGTGGTCACTGCAGAAGCTTCTGGGCCTGCAGCTTCCTCACAAAATAGTTGATGGCATTTGTGGCCCAGCTCACCCTCTCCAGCAGGATTATCAGAGTGTTTGGGATTCCACAGCTCGGATGCATGTTCTATATCATCAAGTTTTTCGAAGCTGTAGTTGGGTGAGAGGCCTGGGAGACTTCAGGTGACTATCTTCTAGCTTTTGTATCACCTGACCAGCAGAGCCGCTAAGTTTTAGGGCTAAGTGTTGTCCTGTGTATCCTTCCACAGGGAGTCACTGAAATATTTTGTTTGCACTCCTTGTCCGATGTCTATTGGCTACCTGGGAGGCACATATCCAACTCTGTGTCATGTCACGGGTCATGTGTCTAAGCATTTGGAACTTTTGTAGAAAATGTGTACCATTACTGCTGCACATTTACTAACTTATTTTACAAAACAGAAGTAGAACTGCATGTTTATCTTGGTAGCCAGTTAAGCATAGTTTATGTATGTATTTCAATCGTTTTAGTAAATAATCTCAGTCTAGCCCCCCCCCCCCAAAAAAAAGAAGCTGTAGGTGATAAAAGCTTATCTGATAAAAAATCTCAACAATTGAATAAGTTGGATTTATTTCATCAAGAAGCGATCATAAAATGCTTGAAAAGCATGAAAGATGAAATTAAGCACTCCCTGTCAGGGGAAATAGTTGGTATTTCCTCTGCACAGCTACGGGATTTTGATTGGCAGCTCAAGCTTGCACTTTCTATAGACAAAATTGCTACATTACGAATGCCACTTTCCAACCTTCATCTACATGTAAAAACGGTGAAGTCAAATCATATTCAGTTGGAAGGGGTAAAGAAGAGCTGCAGAATCTGGAAATTTCTTGGAAGCAACTTATAAGGTCATCCTGCATTTGAAATAATTGGAAATGATGACTATCACCGGCATTATCAGATTCCACTGCGATAGCTGCCATCACACAGTAAATATTGTGTGTTCAGAAAATCTGTGACACGCTATTATGCCAAGCTGGGAAAGCAGCAGTGTTGAGATTACAAAGATAAAAATTTGTCAACTTCTATAAAAAACAGGAAATTACATGGTTCACAGAAAACACATAAACATAAAAGATAAAAAGCTATAATAGCAGTTTATATTTTCATAATGACTGTTCTGCTTCATTTATTAAATATCTTAGAAATCTTTATATAGAGTTTTACTGAAAATTAACCATAGGCGCTAAAGTAATGTAAACATACAAAGCACAAGTAAATTGGAATCTTGCTTTAAGAAGTATGTGGCTCTGGCCAGGGGGTTCAGTTAGTTGGAGCATCATCTTGTAAACCAGGAGGATGTGGATACGATTCCCTGGTAGGGGAGTGTATGGGAGGCAACCCATCAATGTTTCTCTCTTACATCTCTCTCCTTTTCTCTAAAATCAATGAAAACATATCCTCAGGTGAGGATTAAGGGGAAAAAAAGGATGTGAATACCAAGGATGTGTGCTATGGTTATATGTATATGACTGATTTATGACATTTTAAAATAACTTTCAAAGAATGTATAAGATGCATATATAACTCAGGAAATTCCATTTCAAGGGAAAGATTAAAATGTAAATTTTCCTAGAAAAAGAAGCTCTTCAGACATGAACAAGAAAAAAACCCTAAATCTGTGTAAATAATTTTGAGTTTATGAATTCTAGAAACGGAAATCTTGTACTGGAACATAGGAAAAAATGCAATGGCTACTTTTGTATTTCAAGGTCTTTGGGAGAGTATGAACTGGTAAAAATAATATATGCCGATGCATAGTGTATATAGTACTATTCAAACATCAGCTAAGACCACATATATCTCCATTTTTGTTATAAACTCTTAATATTGAATTTAACAGTTTTGGATGTTAACTTTATTGGCAAACAGATAATTTTAAATTTCAGTTAAGTTTAAAGATAAGCATTTTGAACATAAAAGTACAATTTTATTTCATTAAAAATATGCTTACAGTTTTGAATATTCTTGTATTATTATTTATTAATTGTATTATTTTTCATACAAACAACTGTAAACCTACTTTTGCCCCATCCTGTATTATTTCTCTCAATCTCCTAGGATGATCCAGAATTTGGCAGGCATGCCAAATCTACAACAAATGACTTTAAGTGTTACTTCCTGGAGCAGTAAAATAATTTTTTAATGTAGTGCAAGCTTCAAAAAATATGCAAAGGAGTGCCCACTTACCAATGAGTTCAACTAACAAAATTGTGATGTGTCAGAGTGGGGCAAAATCTCAAAAATATAATGAAAGCTTATCCTTATTATTTGGAGAAGCATTGTATATGGCACTGGCATATTATTTGGCCTTTTGGAAAATAATGTAATAACCCAGCTCTGAGACTTTGGAGATGTTCATAATGGTAGCAATAGAGACTGACAAGTCATAAGGCAAGCTCAGTTGTTTGACTTAAATCCCCAAAGTGCCTGCAAAGTGCCTGGCTCACTGCAAGGTGACAAGCAGCAGATGTTGAAACCTGTCCTAAGGTTTATGAGGGCACAAAGGATTGAACAGTTTGCTGGGGTCTTCGTTCAGCACTGACAAAGTGGACAGTGCACCTCAGTTCCTGGGAATTATAAAAATGTTTCCAGCTGATGGCCTCAGTTGGCAATGTTAAACCTGGGGGGTCTTGTTAGTTATTGAGCTCTGAGGACACACTGGAGAGCTCAACCCCTCATTTAACATAGTTCAGTTGTGAAAAATATTCCAGAAGTCACTACCATTTGTTCTGAGACTCTGCAGCTACTGGAGAAAGGCACAGGTAAGTAAAGTTGCTGAGTAGGAGAATTGCTCATTACCATGATGACAGCTGCAGACCTTCTCTCAGGGACTGCCAGATGGTGCTGTAAGGAAGAATAAGTCTCCCTTTTCTGTGTCCAGCCCACTTCCATCTTTTCTCCTCTTATAGATCCCTAACCTCTTTGGTAGTCTTCTTCAGGACCTAGGAAAATAATGCCTATTGCATAGGGCTATGCATGAGTTCAATTAAGTATGTGTTGAAATGAATATCTTAGGAGATTCCCAGAGCTCCATCTAGGTTAGCATGCATAGAGCACTATTTCTGTAAAGTAGAACTGTGACATTGAAATAGTGTGTCAAGATTGGGAAGACCTTTTTTTAAAACAAAAGATAGAGACCTAACAGGTTTGGTTCAGTGGCTAGAGCGACAGCCTGCAGACTCAAAGGTCCCAGGTTCAATTCTGGTCAAGAGCATGGACCTTGGTTATGAGCACATCCCCAGTAGGGAGTGTGCAGGAGGCAGCTGATCAATGTTTCCCTCTCATCAATGGATCTGACTCTCTATCACTCTCCCTTCCTCTCTGTAAAAAATCAATAAAACATATTTTTTTTAAAAAAAAACAAACAAAAACCAGAAAATAGAGCCCAGCCGGCCTGGCTCAGTGGTTGAGCACTGACCTATGAACCAGGAGGTCACGGCTCAATTCCTGGTCAGGGCACATGCCAGGGTTGTGGGCTTGATCCCCAGTGTGGGGCATGCAGGAGGCAGCCAATCAATGATTCTGTCTCATCATTGATGTTTGTATCTCTCCCTCTTCCTTCCTCTCTGAAATCAATAAAAATATATTTTAAAAAACAAAACAGAAAGCAGAAACAGCATACTCTGTTTTTGTTTTTCATCATGTGGACTGGTTTTTTAAATTGTGTACATTAAAAGCCTACTATATGAACGTTGAATTCAACTCAGTTGCTAATTTTACTTTTAAATTGACTAAATTATGTGGGTTTTTTTTTATGAGACTGTATTTTTTTAATAACCGGGCTCTCACTTCAGGAATCTTGCCAGATGTCTGGCCTCCCAGATGCCTCGAGCAACAGATAATATTAATGAAATGGGTTATGTTCCCATGTACCTGTGTAGAGTCCTCACCCTCCTTGACCTGTATAATCTACAAAAGTCATCTTTGGAGCAAACAAGCAGGAAAGAGGAGTTGCCAAAGCCAGGAGTCTACCCGTTGGAGTGCACCAAGTGAGTGCAAACTCCAGTGTAACTATATAACTATAATTCTTGCCACAGAATTACTCACTCTTCACTTGTGTGCAAGGCTAGGGGAAGTGGGCTGACGTGAATAAATCAAGCATAAGAATTTCCATGCCTGTGGCTCAGGCGGTAGCCTCTAACTTGCAGGGGTGATTTATCTCCTAAAAACAAGGTTAAATTAGATGAGCTTAGCCCCTTACTTTTAATTCTGTTCTCCTTACTCCCAAGGCAGTGGCATACCTAGCATCACTACTCAGATTCTCCCTTCCCTCCCTTTTGGTACATGTCAAACTTGTCAAGGCCCTAATCTCTGGGAAATAGCAGAAGCCTACAGGCAAGCCAGGAAGACAATGAAGGAAAAGGTTATTACTTTTCAATAATGATGAATTTTTAATTACTACAAGTAGACCCATCACCAGTAAATTATTATTTACTTCCACTTACGGAACATTTATTACAAGCTAAGAATTATGTAAACACTTTTAATAATTGTGCAAAACACCATAGGAAAGTCAACAGAAGTATCTGCCCTTGAGCAGCTTAAAACCTAATTACGTATTTACACACCCACACATACATATGGTTCATGAAGGTACATATATTTGCATTAGTCTTTCAGTCCTTTTTCTTCAAGCTCCATCTCCCATTTAAAAGCATTAAGTTCACAGGTTTATGTAAACTATGTTAGTTCTCATCTGATTAGTCTTATAGATAATTGTATCAGAAGGAATTATTACAAATTTAGTGTAGAACAAATATTATCAGATATACACTTTATTTTTACAGGAAACTGCAAGGGTTTCTTCCTTAATGCTAGAAGCCATTGGTATTATGCTCTTTTAGAAAGGAAAAACTCATACTGAACAGGAACTTTATGTAAATTTCATGACTATTGCTTTCCTTTATTTAAACCTTCTTCTCCTCTTTTGTGATTGCTGGGGTCCAACCCCAGCAGGTCCAGGGGTCCCCAAAGGTGTGGACGGAGTCGGGAAAGAAGGAAAGACTCAGAGGCAGCGTTCAGTTGATCATTAGCCTAGCCAGGATCTCTAGCCAAGTTCTGGTCCGGATCTCCAGCCAAGTTCTGTGTCCATGTTCTCTTGCTAAGTTCTCCAGCCAGGTTCTCCAGGTTCTCCAG